GGGAGGGAGCGGGACCAGGGCTCGGCTGCGCTCCCGTCCCGCAGCCGCGGCGTGCCCGCCGGTCCCCGCGCAGGGGGAGCCCGGGGGTCCCCGCCGCCCGCCTGGCCCCGCCGGTGCCCCGGGGCTCGGCACGGCTCTGCCCTGGTCCTGTGCCCCCGGCACGGCGTGTCCCCGCCGGGGGGTGGCAGCTGCCAGCCGGGGTGAGCCCCCTTGAGCCGCCACCGTGACTTCCCGGCCCCGAACTCGCGGGCTGCCGGGTCCCGGTCCCCCCCTTTCCTCTGTGGCACTCCCGGTGGGACAGGTGGCAGCAGGTGGCAGGGGACTGGGGGCTCAGGGGGTGCCCTGGGGCTGGGGACACATGTCCCCCACCCCGTGCCACCCAGCCGGGGTCGGCCAGAGCCGCGACACTGCGGGGGTGACCGGGAGCTGCCCGGTGTCAGCAGCGGGAGTTTTCCCGCCACCGGGGCGGGGAGGTGTCGGCCATCACTGGCACCCATGGAGGGGCACCCTCGCTCGATGGCAGGTCCCCCTGGGCGAGCACCACGTGGGGCTGGTGGGGTTCCCCGCATGGTTTCACTTCCCCCCTGGGCGGGCGGCCGGGCGGCAGAGGGCTGTCGGCGCTGATGGCGGTGGGGGCCATGCCGTGCCGCAGGTGCCGGGGCGGGTGCCCTCCCTCGGGGACGGCTCGGGTTTCCGGGGGCTGCCGGGCTGGCACCAGATGCTCCAGCCCCACCGGGGCTTTGTTCGGAGCCGTTTCCTTTTGGCTCAGCCGCGCCGCCCTCCCCTTGGCACCCGGCCCACAGCACAACCCCAGCCTCTCCCGGCACCCCCTGGCCACAACCGGCCCAGCCGCAGTCCCCGCGCAGCTCCTCTGCCCCCATCCCTGCCGGTAAGTCACGCTCTCCCCTCCTCGGCCCACCGGCTGCCCCGGGGACGGGGTGGCATGGCGGTGGGCCCCCGTGCCCATCCCTCTGTGGCGCCGGCGCGGGCAACGGAATCCCAAAAGCAGCTGTCCCCGCTGCGCCCAGCTGCCCTGGGGTTTCGTTACCCGCGCTCCCGCCCCCGCCTCGCCCCCCACTCCGCTGCCCCACAAGGGGCAAGAGCCGCTCGCCCCCCTCCAACCCCTCTGTGGGGCTGGGGCAGTGCGTAGGGGCCACACTGGGAGAAGGGGGGTGTGGGGATGAGGGATCACTGGTGCCCAGCCTCGTGGCTCAGCCTCCCCACCCCCCCAACCCAGGGCTGGGGGCTCTCCGGTGGTCTCGTGCCACCGACAGCTAAAAATAGCAGCTGGCTTTCTGGGGACTAATCGCCGGGACGAGCGTGCTGAGCGGCGGCTCCGGCTGCTGGCCACAGGGCGGATGTGGCCACCTGCGCCGGGACAGTACGGGTCACGAGATGCCGTGCAAGCTTCCTGCCACCATCAGCCTACTCTGGGCACTCCACAGCCCCCCCAGCCCTCCCCCGGAGCTGGCAGGGGTGAGTGGTGCCCGGGCAGGATCTGTCCCCCAAAGAGAGAGATGGCTTTGGAATGACACGATCACTCCCGCTGAGCAGGCAGCCAGAGAGCCATCGGGGATGTCGTGTCTGTCCAAAGCTCTTTCGGCACCGCCGAGAAGCCCCACCACCACCCTGGGCCACCATGCTGCTGCAGGGATCCCCGGCGCTGTGGGGATGGGGACAGATCCAGCCTGGAGCCCTCAGAGCAGTGGCACAAGGTCGGAGCGTGCCCCCAGCCCGTGCGGGTGTGTTTCCACCCCCTCCCCTGGCTGGGCAGGCAGGGGTCCTGGGCAGCTCCTGCCCTGCGGACAGTCAGCAGTTGGTCTGGTGTGAGCAGCGATTCTCAGATCACCTCTTGGCTGTGGGTGGTGCAGGGAGCACCCCACCGGGCCACGGCCCTGCCCTGCCAGGGGGGGACACAGCCACCCCCCAGCTGGGGAACATGTCCCCTTTGCACTGGCCACCGGCTGCAGAGCTGCCCACGGAGCCCATAAAGGATTGCTGCGTTGTTGGCAGAGCCCATGCGATGGTCTGTGCTGCCAGGAGATCCTGCCCTCACCCCGGCCCCCCGCGCACACAAGCCCCAGAGGAACCGGTTTGGGCCCTGCGGGCAGAGCGGCCCCCCCGGCCCTGCAGGGAGGGCAGGAAGGGAAGGGCAGGGAGGGAGGTCCCCCGCTCCCCGGGGACACGTGCTCCCCGCGGGGGGGTTAGCGCTTCCTGGATACCCGCTCCCCACTGAGCTGGCACGGGGCTGGGTGTGTGACGGGCCATTGCCACCATCCCCAGGTTGGAGCTGGCTTTGGCTGTAGCCCTGGGGGGGGCGGGAGGGGGAACGGCAGCCCCCACTGCCTGCCTGACAATGGGGACAGGCTGAGGGGTTGGAAACTACAGGGCTCCGGGGAGACCTTATAACCCCTTTCACTACCTAAAGTGGGCCTACAGGAAACATGGGGACAAAGTTTTTATCAGGGTCTGTTGCTATAGGACAAGAGGTAATGGTTTAAAACTAAAGGAGGGTAGATTCAGACTAGATATAAGGAAGACGTTTTTTACACTGAGGGTGATGAAACACTGGGACAGGTTGCCCAGAGAGGTGGTAGATGCCCCATCCCAGGAAACACTGAAGGTCAGGCTGGACAGGGCCCTGAGCAGCCTGTTCGAGTTGAAGATGTCCCTGCTCATGGCAGGAGGGTTGGACTAGATGGCCTTTAAAGTTCCCTTCCAACCCAAACCATGCTATGATTTTACACCTGCTCTGTTCAGGGCCCAGGCAGCAGCGTGGGCCCCCCCTCCGCAAACCTGCTGCAGAGGAGCTCAGCTCTGCAGGTGCAATCACGACCACAATGGCAGCAGCGAAGCCTTTCCACCTCCTCCCTCCCGGGGCTGATGATGAGCAGGAAGGCGCTGGGTGGGAGGGCAGCTCTTCTCACAGAGGGTGCCCAGAGCCGGGGCTGGCTGGGGCGCACGGTGAGGAATAACCCCCTGCCCACACGTCCACCTCCGCCATGGAGCCCAGCCACACACCACACCTTGCCACTGCCGCTGGTTCTCCTCAGCCGGCCTGCCCCGTGCCCGGGGAGCCTTGAGGTCGAGCTGCCCGCCCTGGAGTCGTGCTGGGCTTCCAGTCTGGGTCCGCCTTACGCCCTCCGCTCCTCGGCCTCGGCCGCCCCTTCCCGGCCCGCCACTCCCATCATGGCGGCGCCGCTCTGCTCGCCACACACATCATGGCGGGCGCCGCGCCCGTTACCCCCAAGATGGCCGCCCAACCCGCCCGCCCCCAAGATGGCCGCCCGGCGATGTCACTTCCGGGCTGCGGCGGCGGAAGCGGCCGCCAAGGCTCCCATGGAGACGGGCAGGGAGGAGGACCGGCCGGG